CGCGCGCACACACACACACACACACACACACACACACACACCTCGGCAGTATGCAGGCCCAGAAAAATCCTGAGAAGACTTTGAGCCTTCACCTCTGTCTGACCTCAAGGCTCAGAAAATGACATGCTAATTAGTGAAAGTTTTCCATTCCTGTCTACAAAGGGTAAAAGAGATGGCAGTTTTTTCTAAATGTCCCACTTTAAACAAAATAAACACACACACACACACACATACACACACACACACACACAGAAAAACATGGCCTATTAAAATTCTAAATTTGAAAAATACAACAAATGAATTGAAAAAAATCACTAGATGTGTTCAAGAACAGACTCTCAGATTCAGAAGAAAGAATTAACAAACTTGAAGACAGGCCATTTGAAATTATTGAGGTTGAGGGACAGAAATAAAAGGGAATTAAAAAGAGTGAACAGAGCTCAAGAAATTTATGGGATAGTACCACATGGACTGTATACATATTATGGTAGTCACAGAAAGAGACAAACAAGAGAAAGAGATAGAGAAGTTATTTTAAGAAGTAATGATTGAAAACTTCTCAAATTTTAGGGAAGCATGGATATAGAAATCCAAGAAGCTCAAGTAGGATACACCATGACACATTATAATCAAACTACTAACACTAAAAGATAAAGAGAGGACTTTGAAAGCAGAGAGAGAAAATCAAATCTTTGTGTATAATGAATCTGCAATAGGAACTCTGAGGATATTTCAGCAGAAATTTGCAGACCAGAAAGCAGCCCGTATTTAAAGTGTTGGGAAAAAAAATCTGTCAACCAAGAATTTTGTATCTGCAAAAATGTCCTTCAAAAATGAGGGAGAAATTAAAGCAGTCCCCATCAAGCAAAAGCAGAGGGAGTTCTTTATCACAAGATTTGCCCAACAAGAAAAGCTTAAAAAAGCCCTTCTAGTTTAAGTAAAAGAACACTGGACAGTAGAGATCAAGAAAATAGAGGATATAAAAACAATAGAGATAATCAAATAAACTAAGAATTGAGTCTTTAAAAAAATCAACAAAATTGACTAACTTTTAGCTATATTGATTAAAAAGAGGGATAGAAAGAGAAAGAGAACACAAATAACTAAAGGCATGATTTAAAAAGAAGACATTTCACCCTGGCTGGGTGGCTCAGTTGGTTGAAGCATCATCCCATGCATGAAAAGGTTGCAAGTTCAATGTCTGATCAAGGCACATATCTAGATTGCAGGTTCAATTCCTTGTTAGAGCACATATGAGATATGGCCTATTGATGTTTCTCTCTCACACATTGATGTTTCTCTCTCTCCTTTCTTCTTTCTCTAAAATCAAAAATATATCCCTTGGGTGAGGATGAGGAGAGGAGAGGAGAGTAGAGGGAAGGAAAGGGGAGACATTTTAATTAATTTTACAGAAATAAAAAGGACTATCAGAGAGCACTATGAATATTTACAACAACAAATTGAAAAACATAGATGAAATGGACAAATTCCTAGAAACACTCAACAAAACTGAATCATGAAGAAATAAAAATCTGAACAGATCTATAACTAGTAAGGAGATTGAATCAGTAATCAAAAACCTCCCAATAAAGAAAATCCCAGAAATAGTTGGCTTCACTGGTGAATCCTCCTAACATTTATAGAAGAATTAACACCAATCCTTCTCAATCTCTTCTAATAATAATTGAAGAGGAGAGAACATTACAAAACTCATTTAATGAGGCCAGCATTACCCTGATACCAAAGCCAGACAAAGACACTACAAGAAAAGAAAACTACCCACTAATATTCTTAATAAATATTGATGTAAAAATCCTTGACAAAATACTAGCAAATAGAATTCAAGAGCACATTAAAAGAAATTATACACCATGAATGAGTTGGATACATTTCTGCAATGTGAGGATGGTTCAACATATGAAAATCAGTAAGTGTAATACACTGCATTAAAAAAATGAAAGAAACCACATGATCATCTCACTTAATGTAGAAAGAACCAAACAAAAATTCAATATCCTATCTAATAAAGAGGTAATATGCAAATTGACCACCACTCCAGTACACAAGATGGCCACCCCCATGTGGTCAAAGATGGCCGCCCCCATGTGGCCACAAGATGGCCTGCAGGGGAGAGCAGTTGGGGGTGAATGGGATGGCAAGGGAGGGAAGTTAGGGGTGACCAGGCTGGCAAGGGAGGGCAGTTAGGGGTGACCAGGCCAGCAGGGGAGGACAGTTAGGGGTGACCAGGCCTGCAGGGGAGGGCAGTTGGGGGTGACCAGGCTGGCAGGGGAGGGCAGTTAGGGGTGACCAGACCAGCAGGGGAGGACAGTTAGGGGCGACCAGGCCTGCAGGGGAGGGCAGTTGGGGCGACCAGGTCTGCAGGGGAGGACAGTTATGGGTGACCAAGCTGGCAGGGGAGGGCAGTTAGGGGTAACCAGGCTGGCAAGGGAGGGCAGATAGGAGTGACCAGACCAGCAGGGGAGGACAGTTGGGGGTGACCAGGTCTGCAGGGGAGGGCAGTTGGGGGTGACCAGGCAGGCAGGGGAGGGCAGGTAGGGGTGACCAGGCTGGCAAAGGAGGGCAGTTAGGGGTGATTAGGCTGGCAGGGGGGTGGTTAGGGGGTGATCAGGCTTGCAGAGGAGTGGTTAGGGGGTGATCAGGCAGGCAGGCAGGCGAGCAGTTGGGAGCCAGCAGTCCTGGATTGTGAGAGGGATATCCAACTGTCCAACTGCAGTCAGACATCCCTCGAGGGGTCCCAGATTGGAGAGGGTGCAGGCTGGGCTGAGGGACACACCCCACTCCTGTGCATGAATTTCGTGCACCAGGCCTCTAGTTCTTTCATAATAAAAACACCTAACAAAGTAGGAACAAAGGGAAACTACCTCAACATAACAAAGACCATATGTGAAAAACATTCAGTATTTTTATAATTTTATTATATAGCAAATATCATACTCAATGGTGAAATATTGAAGGCTTTCCCTCTAATATTAAGAACAAGGCAAAGGTGCTTGTTTTTGTCACCTCTGTTCAACATAGTACTCAAAATCTTAACCAGACCAATTATTCAAGAGGTGGAAAAGGGCATCCAAATTGGAAAGAAGTAACAATATCTTTGTTCAAAGACAACAATGTTCTTGTATGTAAAAAATAAAGAAAAAGAAAAGAAAAAGAAAGAACTAAAAAATCTATTAGAACCAATAAATGAACTCAGCAAAATTGCAAGGTCCAAAATCAACAACAAAAATCAGTTGTTTCTATACACTAACAATAAAGAATCCCAAAAGGAATTTAACAATTCATAATAGCACTGGAAAGAATAAAATGTTTAATAGGAATAAACTTAACCTAGGAGGCCAAACACTTGTACACTGAAAACTACAAAACATTGCTAAAAGAAATTCAAGAATTCACAAATAAATGAAAAAACAATCTGTGTTCATAGACTGGAAATCCTAATATTGTTAAGATGTTATACTACTACCCAACAAGATCTACAGATCCAATGTAATTCCTATCAAAATCCCAATGATGTTTTTTGCAGACATAGAATATTTCATCTTAAAATTCATGTGGAGTCACACACTTTCTGATTTCAAAACTTACTACAAAATTACACTTATCAAAAAAGTGTGGTATCAGTATAAAGACAGATATATAGAACAGTAGAATAAAATAATAAAATAGAGACCCCAGAAATAAACCATCATTTACATGGCTAAATAATTTTCAACAAGGAAGCCAAGATGAGTCAATGGGAAAGGGCAGTTTTTTTCAACAAATGGTACTGGGAAAACTATATATCCACATCCAAAGGAATGAAGTTGAATTCTTACCTTATTCCATATAAAAAATTAAGTCAAAATGCAACAAAGACCTAAACATAAGAGCTAAAGCTATACAACTCTTAGAAGAAAACACAGGGGGAAATCTTCATGACATTGGCTATGGTAATGATTACTTGGATATGACACCAAAATCTCAGGCAATAGAAGTAAAAGCAGATAAATTGGGCTTTTTCAAAATATAAAACTTTTGTAGATCAAAGGATATAATCAACAGAGTAAAAAGGCACTCCATAGTTGGGAGAAAATATATGCAAATCATATATCTGATAAGGGATTAATATCCAAAATATAGGGTGAGGCAAAATAGTTTTACAGTTGTTCATATGGAAAATAATATGAACATTAATAAATAATAATACAAGAATAAAATCTGTGTTTTCCATACACACAATTGTAAACCTAGCAAATAGAATTCAAGAGGGCATTAAAAGAAATTATATACCCACTACTCCCACAACTCAACAACAAAACACAACTCAATTGGAAAAAAAAGGGCAAAGTGTTTAAATGGACATGTATCTAAGGAATATATACAATTGACCAATAGGGACATGAAAAGATGATCAACATCACTAATCACTAAATCAAAACCACAGAGATACCACTTAAAATTTATTAGGATGGATTTTAAAATAAGTTTTGCTGAGGATGTGGGAAAAAATAGAACCTTTGAACATTGCTGGTGGGAATGTAAATTGGTGCAACTAATGTGGAAAATAGTATAGTGGCTCCTCAAAAAATTAAGCGTAAGATTACCATATGATCCAGCAATTCTGTTTCTGGGTATATACACAATAGAATTGAAAGCAGTTACTCAAACATTTGTACAATTATATTCATAGGATTATTCACAATAGCCAAAAGTTTGACACAACCTAAATGCCTATTAAGAGATGAATGGATAAACCAAGTGTGGTATATATGTACAATGGAATATTATTCAGCCCTAAAAAGGAAGGAAATTTTGACACATGCTACAACATAGATGACCTTGAAGACACTATGCTAAGTGAAACAAACCAGTCACAAAATGACAAACACTGTTTGAGGAACCAAGAGTAGAGACAGAAAAGAAGGATGGTTGCTGGAGGCTGGAGGCAGGGGGATGGGGAGTTATTATGGAATGAGTTTCAGTTTGGAAAGATGAAAACATTCTGTGAATGGCTGGTGGTGATGGTAGCACAAGAGTGTGAATGCACTTAAGGCCACTAAACTGTACACTTTAAAATGGTTCAAGTGAAAAAACTATGAAAGAAAAAAGGATCTGAATCCTTCTTTCAGTATCAAAAATACTGAATGTAAATAGTACTGCTAAAAGAAATCCTATATAATAAAACCCTAATATGCAAATCGACTGAACGGCAGAATGACCAGTCACTATGACATGCACTCCCCAGAGGGAAGCAACTGGCTGCAGCAATCAGGGGGTGGGGCTGGCCAGCAGGCGGCACCAGGCTGCCAGCCAAGGCGGGTGCCAGCAGGGGGCCCCCTGATTTCCCTGCCCACCAGTCACCCCACAGATCTGCCCTGATTGTCAGCCAGGCCTAGGGACCCTACCCTATATATTGGGAACAGTCTTAGATTTAAAAATTAAAACCTGGCACGGCTACTCTAACACTGAAAAAACAGGATGATGCAGCGATGACATGCATGGACTCTGGCTTGCACATCTTGTGGTCAGCCCTGATTCTTACACTTATAACTGTGTGACAAAGCCAATTACTTAACTTCCCTCTGCTTTAGTTTTTCCACCCATAAGATGGGGAAAATGGTACTACTGCCTCAGAAGGATCATGTTATGTACTACTTTTTATAATCAGGGCAAAAAATGTAGCTGCCCATACAACAGCAAGATGCCTTTCACCTGTATGAAAAGTATGGTCACTGGTGCATGCAGCATCCCGGACTGTGAGAGGGATGTCCAACTGCCGGTTTAGGCCCGATCCCCACAGACATACCCCGAGGGTGCAGGCCAGGGTGAGGGACTCCCCCTCCAACCCCATGCATGAATGTCGTGCACCAGGCCTCTAGTGTGTGTTACAAACATTAAGATTCCTTAAAAGATGAATGAATGTACCATCTCTCACACACAACGTTCCTGGCTGACTGAGATTCTGTATCCCTTTCTGTTCAAACAATGGTCATACCTCCACTTTTCATATCTCCATACTTTCCTCCTTTTCCAAACATCTTTTATAAAACCATTATTCTAGAGTAAAAGACCCCAAAACTTAAGGGCTAGATAGCTCTGAATTATTAAAATCAGAATGAATTTACAGAATTTTTCATAAGTGAAATTGTGGGAATTTAGGAAAGTAAGTCCTAAAACAAAGTTAACAGATGACTGTGCAGAGAAACGGCAAAATCAAGTTTTAAGGACGGTGATTATAAAGGGGCAGCATGTGGGAGTTGGGGTGGTTACGAAATGTTTTTCATGTGTCTGTGGTGGTTGTTACATGAATCTATACCTGTGTTAAAATTCATAGGATTATAAACCAAAGGAGTCAGTAAAAAAAAAATTTTCAGCAGCACAGATGTCCACAATTCACTTGATTATTTCTGTCTTTGTTCATTTCCTCTGTCCTAGAATCCACATACACCCTAGGCCTCTCCATTGGCCACTAGCATGTCACATCACATGCTAAATGTAGATGAACTTTCTTTAAGTGTTAAAGACACACCAATATCTTTAAGCAATTAAAAGTTCATCTACATTGAGCATGTGATATGACATTCCACTCTTGGTCTTCCATAGCTGGAGAAGTGTGCACCCAAATAAATATTTACCAGCAGACATAGGCCAGCATCTCCCTGTTGCAGAATGCTCTCTTGTCAGCTCTCCCTAATGTATAATCAGACCTACATTTCATATACTTGTAACAATAGCAAATTGCCTCTGGAATATGATGTGAAAACTGTAAGTCAGAAATCACTTTTGCTTTATTTATTATGCTGTCATTTACTGTCATGTGGTAAAGGCTAAAGGATCTAATTCCCTTCACTACTGGGATTATAGCTGCTTGTCTTCTTTTATGCAGATTTCATATTTGAAAGATGCTTCACTGGGCTCACACTGTTACCTGCTCGCTGACCTGGTCTTTCTTCTGCTGTCTGAGTTCTCACATAGAGAAAAGGGAATTCAACCCAAGTCATCTTGCTGCTGTTTCATCCTCCCTTTTGTTGTCTGCCTGAGATAAAAATAAAATATAGTGCTTTTTGTATGGGGATATGTTTGCCTCTGTGTCCTTCATTATCTGCATTTCTAAACTTAACTTGTGTTATTCCGATGTTGACAGCAGTGCCGTGCCAGGCCATACTGAGGCAAAAGAAAAAATCAATACTAATGATCGTGTATTTAAATTTTTGACATTTTGTTAAACATGGTATTTTTTTTCATTTTAATCTTTTACAATATTGCCTCGGAATGTTATTTCCCTCAATTACTGAGGTTTGGGGCAGCCTCTTAAATTTTGCAGCAGAGGAGAGGGTCTCACTCACCTCATCGTGGTACCAGATGACAGCACAAGAAAATTAAGTGAAAAATCATAAAAGTTCCTTAAAAATTTCAAAACACTGAGAAATATAACATTGACCCTACCATTCAGAATTATGTTTTACAACTGCATTCGTTTTCTAGGGCTGCCATTACAAAGTACTGCAAACAAGGGCGCTTAAAACAACAGAAATGTACTATCTCACAGTTCTGGAGGCTGAAGTCTGAGATCCAGGTGTCAGCAGGGCCCTGTTTCTCTAAGGATTTATAAAGAGGGTCCTCCCTGGTCTCCTCCTGGCATTTCTTGACTTGCAGCTGTACCACTCCACTCTCTGTCTCCATGGTCACCTCATCTCCTTATAAGGGCACCAGATGTATTAGATAAGCTCTACCCCACTCCAGTATGACTCCTTGCTAACTAATTACATCGCCAATGACCTTATTTCCAAATAAGCTCACATTCTGAGGTTCTGGGGTTAGGACTTCAAGGGATCTTTTTGGAGGACACAATTCAGACCATAACACTAACCAAAACAGTCGATAGTTCTTATTTTAATTTTTGGCCTGTCAGCACATCAAGTTGTTTATGTGGATTTGTGTGCGATGTGGCAGTGTGTTGGTGACAAACAAAGGTCTCACTGGTCACTCGATGGCCCCATTCTGCTGTCTCAATTACCAAATAACTTCCCATCACACCCACTTGTACTCTGTTCCTCTTCTCCTTCTCTGTTCCTACTTACTGCCTATTACCACCATCCTCTTTCACTCTGTTCTTACCCACAGTACAGTTGTCTAATCTCCCATCTCTTCCCAGGTTCACTCCATAGCCAAATGCCCAGGGGTGAGGGCCTGTGGTCTAAACAGTTCCTTATTAATTGACCAGCTCCTCCCTATTCTCCTGCAATTGATCTGAGTCTCCTACTCAACTCATCTGCCTAACCCCTGCTAAAGTGAAGTGTGGAAGACCTCATAGAAGTGACTCTCAGGCATCATAGCCATTTTCTAAATTTTTCCCCTCATTGCATGGGGAATGTCTCTAAACCTCCTAAGATGAGCTACCATCACACTCAAGATTTCATGTGTGTTGGGAAAGGACAAGATGAGAGAGAGGGCTAAGACTCAGAAATGTAGTATTTGTCATACAAACCCACACACTGGGTTTTTATTCTTCTTGGGCAGCCACCACCTTAGAGCAGTAAACCATTTGTTTAATCACTTTGCTTTTCCCTGACTGCTAGTAATGAAATGCTGCACTCTCTAAAATAATTTCCTGACTATTTGCTAAGATTCATCTCTGACATTTCATTAAATATGATCATTTAACTGTACAAGTACAAATGCATTTTTAATTTAGCTTACTGCCGATATTACAGATGTGGGGAAATGAATTCGTATTGCTCTGGGACAAATATATTATTCACATATGCATGCGACAAAAGAACAAATTATTAAAAATTACTGAAACTTCCATGAAGATTTATATTTAACTTTTGCATTTTCAATCTCCATGTCATTGTGAAAACATATAGCATGTCACTTTGTCAGCCATGATTCTATGAAGAATGTGTGAGCAATTTCTGAAGGATCTTGATCAATAGTCTTCATCTTTGTCATTAACACACAGTGGTACTTAAAGAGATGGAGACTGAGTTTCAAGTGTGCAGTTATGAGGTTAGCAGTCTTATTTCTAAAGCAGTAGGTTATTTTCCTTCCTCTTTAAAACAAACAAACAAACAAAAAAAAACAGCAATAGGAAGTGTGTTTTCTATCCTGAGTACTATAAATCCAACCATAATACATGCTAAAGTTTTCTTTATAGGAAAGTAACCAAAATGTCAATTGACATTCTTGAATGTATTCTTGGTGTCTATTGTAATTGGATTCAAAACTGACCATTGAGAAAACAGGCTTGGTTTTAGGCCTTGAGCCAGGAAACCTATAACTTACAAGTCATGAACTAACAATTATTGTCTCATAGGGTGTCAAGTGTTTCCACAGAATGTACTTTATAGTTGTGGGAAGAAGTAAGCTTATTTTAAACATCTTTATAATATAGTTTAGATGAGGACAACAGCAAAATAACAGAGGTCTGAGGCAAATGTGTAGAATAAAACTCATTCCAGAAGTGAAAGTTAGAAACTTGTCATTTCCAGATATCAAAAAGCTAAAAGAGCCCTGGCTGATTTGGCTCAGTGGATAGAGCATCGGCCTGAGGACTGAAGGGTCCCAGGTTCGATTCCGGTCAAGGGCATGTACCTTGGTTGCGTACACATCCCCAGTAGGGGGTGTGCAGCAGGCAACTGATTGATGTTTCTCTCTCATCGATGTTTCTAACTCTCTGTCCCTCTCCCTTCCTCTCTGTAAAAAATCAATAAAATATATTTGGGGGGAAAAAAAAAAGCTAAAAGAGCTCAAATATCCTTCACACTCAATACACCAATATAATTAAAATAGTAGTTTCCAGTCATCTATTAATTAGTTCTCACATCAGTTACTAATTATGAGATTTGAGGTTTGGAAAGGATCTTTGAGATCATAGGAATTACACCTAACTTGATTATTTTACAAATAAGAAAAATGAGGTTCAAGTAATTTGTATGAGCACACAATAATTTGGTAGACAAATTCAAACTAGAAGCCAGGACCCAATTCCTGGTCAGCACGTAATCCTCAAGAATCCTTAAAGCCACATAGTCAGAGAATGCAACCTCACTTTGCATATGAGAGGATATTGAACTTCACAACAAAAGCACAAGTATGCAGCTGAGCAATTGGCATCAACTGAGTGGCCTGTGGCTCACTGTTCACCCTGGGCAGGGATAAGAAGGATTAAATGATAACAGGGCATTAGAGGAATTTGTCTCATCAGCCTTGTGAAGAACAAGTAATCTCACAGACCTTACTCCTACTTTAGTACTTTGTTAGTTGATGCCTGTGATGGATGATTTTGTGTCATTTCTACTGGGCCTTGAGATGCCCAGATATTTGGTCAACTATTATTCTGGGTGTGTCTGTGAGGTTGTTTCTGAAGGAAATTAACATTTAAATCAGTAGACTGAGTAAAGCGGATTGCTCTTCCTAATGTGAGTGGGCCTCATTTAATCAGTTGAAGGCATGAGTAGTCCAAGACAGACTACCCTCCACTGATTTGCAGGGAATTTCTCCTGCCTGGCTGCCTTCAAACTAGGACATTGGCTTTTTCCTGCCTTCAGACTCAAACTGAAACAACAGCTCTTCCTTCAGTCTCAGCCCTGGAACTAAACTATAGGTTTTTCTGAGTCTCCAGCTTGCCAACTACAGAACTCAGAACTTGCCAGTCTCTAAAATCACTAGAGCCAATTCCTTATCATTCAAGTCTTTCTCTCTCTTCCTCAATATATATTATATTGGTTCTGCTTCTCTGTAGGACCATAATACAATGTCCCTGGCATATTCAAATTTAACATCAATTATAATTGCTTTATTAAATTGTTAACTCTCTGTTCATAAGGCAAACATTGTAGAAACCCAGAGCTCAAAAGAGTTTGCAGAAATAAAAAAACCTGTGTGCTAGAGCTATTGGATTATATTTCTAAAGTTAATGCACATAAAAATCTTGTATTACAATAAAAAGGCTGTAATTCTCCAGGCCTCAGTTAAGTGTGAAACTGACCAACCCAATCATCATCTTTTCCCAGCAGAGGAGGTTTTAAAATATCACACTGAGTGATCACACCACTAGCAAGATCACTGGCACTGCTTCCTCACTCACATTTGATTTGGGTTTTCTCTCTTCTAATGAACAACATGTCTTTCTCCCTTGCCAAGCTGCGAAAGGGGATGTTTCCAGGCACCGTGTGTTAAAATAGAATTGGAGAGACACAATTGCCCCAAAGTTTTCTTCCTTTGGAGTGGTAGCATAGGATCACCTTGCTACGGTGAAGCAATTAGGCCAGCCAGTAAGAACTTTAATTCATGAGCTCCAGGCTGTCCAATGCCACCATCTACAAATGTTATTGTTCTGCTTCTGTCACAAGTGATAGCACTGAATGAAGCTGTGTACCTGTGAGGACTTTAACTGCTCATCAGCAATGAGGAGAACGAGGGGTGTGCAAGCATCCAAAGTGATAAGGTTGAAGTGAGATTACCATTCACAAAGATTTTTTTTTAAAACCACAGGAGCAAATATGTTCTTTTTCAAAACCTGAACCACAATCTTCTAATTCAAACAGATTTTTGAATGCAATATGTCAAAACATTACGAAAATAAGCCTGTCTTTTCCAGGCTGAGAAAAAAGCTGAAGCCAGGACAGAAGTGAACAGCTCTCCTACCAAAAGTGTTTGTTTTCAAATGTTTCCCTATGCAAGTCTGCCATTGGGTCCAGAATTTGAAACATATGATGATGTTTTGCATCACACCTTTACTTTAAGAAGACTGATGGCAGTCTCTTTTGTCTTCTGTGAGAACAACAGTACTGTTTTGGTTGCTTTTAGTGTACAGAAGGAAACTGAACCCTCTTCTCATGCAAGCAAATATTTTCCTTTGGGTGGTAAAGAAGGAGCAGCTGCATTCTGACCAAGGTAGGAATAATAGAGATGATACACTCATCTCTATTATATATACTAGAAATGAAACATAGGGCTAGAATCCTAAAGCAATCATCTAGGGAGGCGTACTGCATTTCCCTTCTCTCCTCTTCAGACTTCTGAGTGCCAAGCAGCGCTTTATATGGAATGTCCAGCTTGACCCCTTCACCAACCTAGCTCAGCAACAAACAAGCCTTGTATAAAAGGAATGACTGCAGTTTCTCAATCTTCATGCACCTTGGTCCAGAACTGTCACATCTACTCAGTTGCATCCCATTCCATATCCTGACTGTTACAAATCTCCACTCATTTGTCAATCACCTCTCTGGTGCTTGTCCCTCTGCCCCAAGGTTGGTGTTCAAAATGGCCACCAACCAACCCCACCCAAGCCCTTCGAATTCTGATCTCCTCTTCTCCATCCATGAACT